AAAAATAGAAAGACATATAATAGATTGCATTGTATAGCGCAAATTCCCGCTCAACAGCAAGCTCTATGCGCTTTACAATTTATATTATTACCTCAGTATACCTGGTGACATTCTGAAACGATGTCATCTTCCTGGGAAGCACACAATGCAAGCTGTTGAACAGGTCTGGGTTAGAAAATGTGGGTGCAAATCTCCCCCCAAAAAATCGTTCTTGTAAAGAAAGAGAAATGAAATATAATGTTAATAGTAGGCTGTCTGAACCTGAGATTCGTTTGAACCAATATGATAGTACACTTAAGGGTGGGGGGAGGTGAAAATATTTCAGAGAGAGAGAGAGAGAGAGAGAGAGAGAGAAAGAGAGAGAGAGAGAGAGAGAGAGAGAGAGAGAGAGAGAGAGAGAGAGAAAAAGGGGGGGGGGGAGAGGAGAGATATGTGTAAAATGTAATTAGTAGGGGTACACTAGAGACACAAACATCTGAAAGAGCATGATATATCAAATGTACTCCCCCCCCCCCAATGTACAATGGACTTTGACAGCTAGATTTATCCTGTGGGTTGATAAATGATATTTTTTAAAAAGTCAGGTCAGTGTTACGATTTAAGATACATACATTGTTCAAGGCACACGGGTGGCGGAGTGTCACACAAATATGTGAGGCAGCATGGGGAAATCAGGCGCTCGTCAAAATACAGAAATTGGAGAAAGAGTCATTAGGAAAATTTTCATCAAATCTTTTTTTTTTTTTGGCTCAACTTCTTTAAAGTCCATATAAAAGCACATTTCCATGTGACTCTTACTGAAAAACATTGATTAAAGGCACATAATGTGTCATTTTTCTGTTTTCAAGGAATCTTTAACTATTGGAGGTACCAAACTTTGGCAGCCATTTTCTTGCTAATTTCACCACTGAAACCAGGTGACCTCACTTCCCTTCAATCACAAATATCTTGAGTTCTATTCAAGATAGATGGATATTTATTTCTTTGGAAACAAGGCAAATATACCAGCTTTCAGATGACACCAATAACTCCACATACCCAAAAATTGACGAGTGCCTCATTCCGCCACGTCATGACACATGACATAATATGCATGAAGTATGACTCATGTTAGGGAGCACCATTCAACACAACACGACTCCTTCATGCATCCACGTTCTTTCTTTTTAACCCTATCCGTACGCCGTGTTTTCCTATGGCATCCATACAACGTGGGGAACTCTGTGCCACCATTATCCAAAGAGGAACTTTTCTCGTTAAGTTAATCCGATCCGTACGCTTTGCATAGCAGTCTGTCAAAATGAATTTTTGAGAAATACTGAAAGTGTCAAAGAGATCTTCGTACTGAAAGTTTTCTAAAATGTGAAGAATACAACCCCGGGCGTACAAAAAGACCTCAGGGCGTACGGATAGGGTTACTCTATGTTCATACACACCCACGAGCAATGATGAAGCTCGCACGCTCTTCTAACTATGTACGTGGGAGGTGCTCGATCGTGGTTTCTCTGCTCTTCTGTTTGGAGAAAATACTGAAGGTCGTAGGTGTTGTCGTCATATTATGCTTCTAATTGTTCTACAGACGGATACAAAGATTCTGTATAACAAGATGGTTCACTCCTCTCTTTGAACCAATTAAAAAGGTGTCCTCAAAACCCAGTGGTGCCCTCTTAGAAAAAGCGCCCGCTTTGCGAACAGAGTTACCTTACTTGTGTGGGAAAAACAAGTTTTTGTATAAATTATAATTAAAATTTCGGAATAACGCCTTCTTCAATGGTTAGGCTGACAAAAATCCTCCTCAGGTGAAAGGGGCAACTGTTTTCTTCCTTTAAATTGGCTTTAGAACGAGAGGCGAGACGTCATTAAATAAAATAACCCCAAAACTGCGCGATGAGAGAACCAGAACAGCTGATGCGCAAGGAGGTGCTGTTCCTATTCTTCTTCTGGAGAAACGAAAGAGAGCTTCAAAACAGAGACTGCAGCAACATCTGAACCAATGCGCGGACTTCTGCAGACACTGTTTTGGCTGAGTGAACTATCTTATTATGTATAATCTTTGACGGATATAACTCAAGATCATGCGCAGAAGGGTTCTCGTGGTATAGAGGTACAGTCTACGGCTCTCATTCAATAGGTCCCAGGATCGAAACCTGATAGCGACGGTACATTTTCTTTAAATCTAAACTTTTCTGCTTTTACCTCCTTTCCTGCTCTCTAATTATGTTCCGCCATCTGCTTTCATCACCACTCACTTTGTACCACCCCCACCCCCCTTTTTTCATCTCGGCTCTTGACTCTTTCCACTGCTAGACTCTATTCCTGGGCCCTTCTTTCAGCGGTCTGTGAGTCACACCCCTGATCGGCGGCTCTCGTGGTCTAGAGGTTACGGTGTTCGCCTCTGCTTTCTTCTCCATTTTCAGCCCCCCCCTCTCCCCCGCTCCTTTGCCCCCCTCCTCTGGATTGTTGATTCTTTCTGTAGCTTTTATACTGCTACTCTTAGGCTCCATCTTCATTACTGTGGTCTTTCAGCCACACCCCTGATCTTATGGTAGGTAATATCTAACGCCTAGCCTTCTTGGATAAGGGCGAAAAATCTCGGAGTACCCTGTGCAAGTTGCGCACGTTAAAGTTTGAGAATCCCTTGTTGGTCCTAAAATCGATAAGAGTGGGCTTCGGCCACAAACAAGACAAAATCCCTACCAAACAAAAAAATGTTTAATGTGTCCCACGCGCTCATATGATCTTATGCTGTTGCAAGCGCCGTGAAACATCTTCCAAATCAAGCAGTACCCCTGCTCTTATGGTACGTAAGATCGAACACTTAGCCGTCTCGGAAAAGGGCCAAAAAATTCTCCGAGGTCCCGTGTGCAAGTTGCACAAAACATTTTGTTTTTGAATTCGATAAGATAATAGGCTTCGACCACCATCTTGGCAAAGTTCAAAATTAATTCCAACCAAACTGAAGATGCTTAATGTGTCCCGCTCGCCCATATAACCTAAGGGCAGTAGTGACTCGTGAGTGCCGTAAAACACTTACCAAGGGAGAGAAAAAATAGATCATGCGCAGAAATATTCTGAGGTACAGTAGACATTGAGCTGTCCCCACGGTTTTATTCTAAGAAAAACCTGAAATTATGCAAACTGAGCCCAAAAATGTGAAATGAAGCGATTCTGTTAATTTTAACAAAGAATGGTATAGGAAAATAATCAGAAATTATGCCCAAAAAATGATTAAACTTTGCAAAATTATGGGGGTGCATAAAATCCCGGGGACAGATTGTGCAATATGTGAGCAGCGTGGTGAAATCAGGCGCTCGTAAAAATAATGAAAGTCAAGATATTGTCATTTTCCCTCAGGTTTGGGAATTTTCATTCTTTTAAAAAAAAATTTTGGTTCTACACGTTTTATGCCCCTTAAAGAGCACATTTCTGCGTAAATTTTACTGAAAAACGTTGATAAAAGGCAGAAGAAATATAAATTTCCATTTTCGACGGACTCTCAAGCTGAAGAAGTAACTCAACTTTGGCGGCCATTTGCTCGCTAACTTTACCTCTGAAACCAGATGACCCTCACCTCCTTCAATCACACATATATATCTCGACTTCTTTTCAACATAGATGGATATTATTTTCACCCGAAACATAGAAAATGGACAAGGCTTAAGATAATAATAATAATAATAATAATAATAATAATAATAATAATAATAATAATAATAATAATAATAATAATAATAATAATAATAAATAGCATTTATACTGCGCATTTCCATTTCCTAAAAGATGCTCAATGCGCATTACAATGAAAAAGACATCACATCTTAAAAATTAATCGACACAAATGTGTACGTAAAACAAAGTATTATACATATAATATAAATGCATATGTGTAAAATTTTATACCAGAAAAGCAGTCTCGCAGTGAGGTTGAAAATGTGTTCACTAAAAATATACAATGCAATGAAAATTCACGAACAGTCAAAATAAAGTTGAAACGTGAGTAACTAGAAACATTCATTAAAACATTAATTCTATACAGATAGAAAAACATTTCCGTTCTCTCTCTCTCTCTCTCTCTCTCTCTCTCTCTCTCTCTCTCTCTCTCTCTGTCTCTCTCTCTCTCCCTCTCTTTCTCTCTCCCTCTCCCTCTATATCTCTCTCTCTTTCTCTATCCCTCTCTCGCTATCTCTCTCTCTTTTCTCTCTCTATCTCTCTCTTTTTCTCTCTCTCATTCTCACTCGTTATTTCTTCAGTCTCACAATATATTTTAAAATATCAGTACAGACCCTAAGTAACGCTGTCTCGGTACTATGGTGTGCCTTATATGCTGACTGATAGACTTCGCTAAGATTATTTGCTTTAATATGATGTAACAGTCTATTAGATACAACTTTTTCCAGAATTTTGGAAAGGAAAGAAAGATTTGAAACTGGTCTAAAAAAATTTAAGTCCTTTTCATCAAGTCCAGATTTTTTCAAAAGGGGTCTAATATGTGCTGTCTTAAAGCAATTTGGTACTGTGCCTGTGAGGGGAGAATCATTTACAATTTGGGTGATATGTGGAAGAAGTTCATGCAAACATTTTTTTAAAAGGCTGGTGGGCATGGGGTCTAAGGCGCAACTTTTTGATGGACTATCTAATATGATCTTTTTGATTTCTTCTTTCTTTGCTGGAGTAAAATAATCGATGACTAGCCCCTTAAACTGATGGTAATTTGGGGCAATTGCGCACATTTTATCGAGCTCTTTCCTGATGGAGGTGATTTTTTTAGAAAAAAAGTCTGAAAAACTACTACAAAGATCTCTATCGGTGCCAGGGGGAAATGTTGTTCTGTTTTGGTTGCCAAGCAGTTCACTAGAGACATCAAAAAGTTCCTTACAAGTTTTAACATTTTCAAATTTTGACAAAAAGAAAGTACGCTTGGCTTTGGTAATCATTTTACTAACAGAATTTTTCATAGTAATAAATATTACCTTATGCACTTCAAGTCGTGTTTTTCTCCATTTTCTTTCCGCTTGTCTTTTTTCTTTTTTTGCAGCCTTTATTTCTAAATTAAACCACCTACCAACAGGTCGATGAGATAATTTTCGTTTTTTAACTGGAGCATGATCATCTAAAATATTCCTCATGATGGTATTGAGGGTTTCTATGTTCAAAGGGGAACTAATAGCAAGAGCATCACGAATGTCACATTGAAACTGGTGTAAATTTATATCGTTCAGATTCCGGGAATGAACTGTTTTTATTTCTTTCCTTGGTCTTTTGATGTTCAAGTCAACAATAAGAAGATAATGATCCGAAATGTCTTTGTCCAGAACGTTTATGCCTTTCACACAGTTCTTTTCAATAGGAGAGATAACCCAGTCTAGGATGTGCTGACTTTTATGTGTTGGTACTTGTACGAGTTGTTTTAAATCATTTTCTGTCAGCAGGTTGCTTATATTTTTAGTGACAGGGTTTTCAGAGCCAAAGTGAAAATTAAAATTGCCAGTTATAATGAATGGTGTATTTTTCATCTTCAGAGATGAAATTAAATTTAGAAGATGATACCACCAACTCTGTATGCCTAAAACTGACGAGAGCCTGATTCAACCGCGTCGTGCCACATACTATTATCTTATTGTTTGCGATATTGATGATGTGTGATGTCATGGGTGTGGGGGGTGGGGGTGGATTGACAATGTTGTAAAACAGTTTCTCACATTCAAACGCAAAAAATATAAACGAAAAATGGATTAATAAGTTCCAGGTGAACAAAGTTGTACATCCACATGCTTTTACCGTACAAACTGATAATAGTCTGTTGGCACTCAGGGAAAAATTCTAGGACCACATGATATGAATATTAATAACTGTAAATATAACTATTGTATTCGTTATCTGTTTGATCCATGCCCGTTAAACAGTTTGAACGCGTCAAACCAGTCTCCTTTGACTAATCGGAACAGCTCTGGCTTTCTATAGTAGGTCATCATATTCATCGTCTGGTCATCATCAATAACACCGTTCGCCATCCATTCTACCAACTGCTGTTGTTGCAAACGATGCCATTCTTGAAAAGCTTTACTACCCCCGGCGTGGAAACCACCGACTAAAGCATTCACGCTCATCTTGTGGATTCGATCTTTGACAGAATAATACTGCATCACTCCGGGCTCCCTCTCGATTAAAGTAATTCGATCTGAATGTTCGAACAATCCTTTCGGAGTCCAGACGCCATCTGGAGGGTGAATATCGTGCCCATGGCCGTAACCCCCGTCCATCCACATGAAGTACGTCGTGTTGAACGGGTTTTCTTGGATTGACCTGTGAAGTTAGAAGAAGATAATGTCGAAATATGAATAGAAGAAGATACTGTCAACATATGAATAGAAGAAGATAATGTCGAAATATGAACAGAAGAAGATACTGTCGAAATATGAACAGGAGAAGATAATGTCGAAATAGGAATAGAATAGAAGAAGATAAAGTCGAAATATGAATAATATGTGAACGGGCTTCCTTGAATTGACTTGTGAAGTTAGAAGAAGATAATGTCAAATTATAAATATTATTTGGAAAAAAAAAAGAATTTTGAAAAATATTTGTGTGGCATCCTGGTGAAATCAGGCGCGCGTCAAAATAAGGAAATCGAAAAAAAACCTGTTGGACATTTTTCATGGCAATATTAAATGTTTATTTCTTTTTAATCCGGATCCGTGCGGGGCAAATATTGACTGTACCCACTCATCGAGATTTATAGCGGCGATGATAGGCGATCGCGTTCACTAGAATGGATGACCTGTAACGTGACGGGAAGTACCATGGTTCTAAATTTTCGCTCTTTTTGTCTGATCAGCCGTGTCCAGATTTGTTAAAATCAGCAAACTGGAACCTGACATGCGGAATCTTAACTGAATCGAGTCCTCCAGACCGGAAAAATAGGGGTGACTTTTTGCAATGAAATGTATGTGTAAAAATAAATAAATTAGCAGGACCTAAAGCGAACCCGTATCACAAGAGGTGTTTTTATGCAGGGGGTCTTCTCTCTCTCTCTCTCTCTCTCTCTCTCTCTCTCTCTCTCTCTCTCTCTCT